TACAAAAAATAAAAAAAAATTAGCTGGGCATGGTGGTCTCTACCTGTAGTAGGAGGATCGCTTGAGCCCAGGAGGTTAAAAATGCAATGAGCTGTGATGGCACCACTGCACTCCAGCATGGGTGACAGAGCAAAACCCTGTTTCAAAAAAAAAAAAGAAATAGTTGTTATCTCAGTTTATACTCCCACCAGCAGTTGTAACTGTATCCTTACCTAATTGCACCAGAGTATCTATTGCCAAAGTCTCAGTTCCTAACACCATGATGTGCTATCCTCTCTTTTTCTCCTGTCCAGGGCACCTTTTCTGGAGGCAGCATGAACCCTGCATGCTTCCTGAGTCCAGCAGTGGTGACTGGGATCTAGGATCAATACTGGGTGAGATGCACTGAGGGTTACAAGACCTGAGTCAGGAGACTGATGGGGCTTCTAGCATATAGGAAACTCCAACGATTTCCGGTGGATTGTTTCTCTTCTATGTAATTAAGAGCTCCAAACCCTTTGGGTGCCCTCTGACCTATTTTCAGCAACTCTTCCTGTCAGTGGATAGGTTAGATGGACCCTCTGCCTTCACTATGACTCTCTTTCCATCCATCCCCAAGCTGGGTATTGCAAGGAGAGAGCACAGGCCCTGATCTGTGTTCCCTCTCTCTCCCCACAGGTGTACTGGGTGGGACCCATGCTGGGCACCATTCTTGCAGCTTCACCTTTGAATTTCTGTTCTCTGGTGCTTCATGAAAAAAGTCTGTGGCCTGTATGACTTGCCACAATGTGGAGATTGTAGAACCTATCAGTATGTCCCATTCCACCTTCTCCATCACCACACAGGCCCCATGCCTAGGTCCCAAGTCCCTCACCAAGCCCTAGCACAACTGAACCTCTTTCCCCAAACTTTCCTTTCCCATATTATCCTTTCCCTCTCCTTGACCAGCTGTTTCCCCAGATCTGATCTCAGCACACCCATACCTTTCCTGGGAATCGAGGTTTAGGGTGTGCTGATCACGGCTGTCTTGGAGGACATTGGACCTTCCCATTGTCATGACTCAGTTTCCTTCCTTTCACTACTTCTTGCTGTGACCATGTGAGTTCAGAAAGATGAAATACAAGCTGATTCTAAGGTTTAACTATGAGTCCCTTTCCCATTTCTATCCCTCCAGCCTCACCCCCAGCCCATGCGGGGATGATAGTGTCTTCTCTCTGTCAGTCTCTGTGGTTTAAAAAGCCAGGCCTAGGGTTTGAAAAGGGAGGTGCTGTCATGGACTGGGGGTAGGGAACCTGGGCTCAGAGAAAGCCAGACGCAGCAGAACTATTCTGTCCCAGAGCTGCACGGTCCACAGATTCCAGCCCAAAACTAGCCAATGAGAGAAAGTCTTCTAATCCCTGGGAACTAAAGAATTCTCTTTAGTTATCCAACTTCCCTGCTGAACCCCACTCCTTACCCCCACCCCCACCCTTGCCCCTGGCAGGCTCAGAGGAGCCTGAGGCCCCCATGAGCTCAGCCCCAAATATCATGAAGTGAGCTCAGCTTGACGGACTTTCCAAAGACAGTTGAAGAGTATTCTAATGTAGATATCAATCAGGACTATGAACTCCAACTTTGACACACATTGAAGGGCAGACTCTTCCAGTCCCACTGTTCTTTGCCCCCCTTCTCATAGTCTTTTCTGCTCTGACCCCAATCCCACCCTCACTGCCATGGCTCTCTTGGCTCATCTCCCAGTTGAGAGAGACAGGAAAATCCAGCATCTTTACTATGTATGGGAGGGGGCCTAGCCCTGCACAGCTGTGAAGGGGTTAAGAGGCCGGGCCAGTTACCTCAGCCTGCCCCTCCCAGGGATTAAGAGTCCTCTATAAAGGGGACTGTCCACCCAGATAAGGCCAGGGGGGTAGCAGTGACCCAGGCACTGTGCCCATCCCCCCTGCCATGTGGGAACTGCGGTCAGCCTCCTTTTGGAGGGCCATATTTGCGGAGTTCTTTGCCACTCTCTTCTATGTCTTCTTTGGGCTGGGGTCCTCACTGCGTTGGGCTCCTGGGCCCCTGCATGTGCTGCAGGTGGCAATGGCCTTTGGCTTGGCCCTGGCTACCCTGGTGCAGTCTGTGGGCCACATCAGTGGAGCCCACGTCAATCCTGCAGTCACTTTTGCTTTCCTTGTGGGCTCCCAGATGTCCCTGCTCCGTGCCTTCTGCTATATGGCAGCCCAGCTCCTGGGAGCTGTGGCTGGGGCTGCTGTGCTGTATAGTGTTACCCCGCCTGCCGTCCGAGGAAACCTAGCACTCAACACGGTAATGGTTGGCTGAGAGGGGATGGGAACCTGGTGTCCTGACTCTCTGTTGCCCTGACTCCCTGACTGGTACAGGTGAATCAGCTCCCTTGGGATCTGGGACAATATGTGCATGTGTGAGCATGTGTGTGTGCATGTGTGAGCATATGTGTGTCAAAGTGGGGAGGATGGACAGGTGGTTTAGAGCTGTAAGGAAGCCATATGACCCTGGACTGAGAATTAAGAAACCTGAGATTGAGTTTCAATTTTCCTTCCAACTCCTTGCAGGTTCTTAAGGAAGCTTATTTTACCTTTCAAAGCCTCAGTTTCCTCATCCATGTAAGTGGGTGCAATCATTTCCATCATGAAGGAGCATTGTTAGGAGATATTAAGATGCAAATACAATGACTACGAAGTGGGTTGTATTATCCTTCCTCTCCAGGGACCTGATGCCATAAGGGGCTCCTTGCCGGGGAATTCTTGAGGAGGTAACACTGCAGCAGCCCTAATGAGCTGCCTCTCTTCTTTTTCCTTTGCGCAGTTGCACCCTGGGGTAAGCGTGGGCCAGGCCACCACAGTGGAGATCTTCCTGACGCTCCAGTTTGTGCTCTGCATCTTTGCCACATGCGACGAGAGGCGGAATGGCCAACTGGGCTCTGTGGCCCTGGCCGTTGGCTTCTCCCTTGCCTTGGGGCACCTCTTTGGGGTAAGCAGGAAGGAGAGAAACTTCTCATTCAAGGATTCCGGGGCCCCTAAACCTTTCCTAAACTTTAAGGGTTCTTCCTGCCAACTTCACTGTCAAACATGAACATTACCCATCACACTCTGTACTGGCACAGAGGAATCAACTCTACCCTATCCCTCTCTTGGGACTGCTATATCTAGTCCTTCTTGACCCCAAGGTAGAAATGCATGCATCCTGGCTAGACATGGGCTTTGCCTATGGATCCATAGGCTGTTCCCAGATGGGGCATCAGTTGCCCTCACCCCATTGTGGGAACCACCGGAGAGTCATGCAGGCTGTCCTTCTCCATTTGCTGCTGGCCGGAGACCAGATGCCAGCTCTCAGGGGCAATGTGGGTTGTGGCAAGAGAAGCAGGGGTGGAGCAGGGGGTGTCTCAGTCACAAATGTCTCTTTTGCAGATGTATTATACTGGTGCAGGCATGAATCCTGCCCGCTCCTTTGCTCCTGCCATTCTCACTGGGAACTTCACCAACCATTGGGTGAGTGAAGGGAGAGGGACAAGATCCTGGAACCCTTCTGGGTGGTTGTGGTTTGCAGGTTCCAGGCTGGGTTCCTGCTTTCCTTCTGCGTGTATTGGCTGTTCTACCAGCACTCAGCTAAGGGGGCTGTCAGAGAGTTTGGCATGTCTGTGTGAGCAGGATTCACGATTTTACTAGAAAGAGAGGCTCTTGCTCACATTGTTCCTTCTCTGCTTAGTCAGGGAGTATGCACCGAGTATTCACTGGGTGCCTGAACTAAGGGGTATGAAGAGAGACAACTAAATATGAGCACAATAAATTCTGCTCTCAGAGATCAGGATGTGTCATGAGCACAAATGGGCCTCAGTTCTAACACATTACTGGCTTTGTGTGTGACCACGGGCAAATAACTCACTCTGTGCTTCAGTTTCTTTTACTATAAAATGGGACATTACAAGAAATGTGTGAAAGTTATATGTGAGAAACATTTAGCACGGAATCTGGTATAAAGTAAGTACTCAAGAAATATTGGTTGGGTTTATGTTGTTTTGAACATATGCAAGCCAAACGTATGGAAATAATTCAAAAACATTTCAAAGCTGTATACCCATTTTTATAACAACATTATTCACAATGCCAAGAGGTAGAAGCAGCCCAAGTGTTCCTCCGTGGATGAGTGTATAAACAAGATGTGGTATATGCATAAATGGAATATTAGCCCTCAAAAGGAGGGAAATTCTGACACGTTACAACATGGATACATCTTGAGTACATTATGATAAGTGAATAAGCCAGTCACAAAAAAGACAAATACTGTATGATTATATGAGGTATTTAGAGTATTCATATTCATAGACACAAAGTAGGATAGTTACCTTCTATAGAAGGCAGGAGAGATGGGGTGGGGTGGAATAGGCAGTTGTTTAATGCGTATAAAGTTTTGCAAGATGAAAAATTTCTAGATATGGGTTGCACAACAATGTGAATATATTTAACACTACTAAACTGTACACTTAAAAATATATACATACATATATATTTTTTTGAGATGGAGTGTCGGTCTGTCACCCAAGCTGGAGTGCAGTGGCGCGCCATCTCGGCTCACTGTAACCTCCACCTCCCAAGTTCAAGTGATTCTCCTGCCTCAGCCTCCCAAGTAGCTGGGATTACAGGCACCCACCACCCCACCCGGCTAATTTTTGTATTTTTTTTTTTAAAGCATTTTGCTTATTTTTAGTTAAAGAAAAACAGCCTTCTCCAATGGCAACAAAGTGAACTGAAAGTCAGAAGTGCAGGCGTCTCGTAAGTTCTTGCTCCAAAACCTGGAAGTGAGGCGAGAGGGCCCTCCCAGAGCTCTAGGGAAGGCTGGCACAGCACAGGGGTTCCTTTGGTTGGGGAGGAAGAGCCGCCAGCCCACATATGGTCACTGGATTGGTCTGAGTGGGCTCCAAGGTGACTGTCACCTGCCAGTCTGCTAACATGATCGACATTAATATTCTTGGGGGGCATTAAATTAAGGAATGACACAGAGAGTCACAAGAGTGGCCTATTTGGTTGGATTCTGAATCACAGTCAGGAAATAGTCTTTATCTGGTGCAACCATAATCTCATTTTTCTTGGAGCGAATTCGAAGGAAGGTGAGATCACTCTGGGGGTCGATTTCACGCACGGTGCTCCGTGCCTTCAGGATGAAGCTGTGCATGAGGCTGGCATACTGGGTGGTGGTGGGGTTGTCCATAGTGCTCTTGATGGGATTGCCTTCTGTGTTCACCACGATGATTCCCTGCACTCCCTTCTGGCTCTGAAGTTGCTTCAGTGTCTCCTCCACCTCTGCCATTTCCGACGGATCTGGTAGCCCTGCATAGCCAACACTCAGCCCAGTCCTGTCAATTTCTGTATTTTTAGTAGAGACGGTGTTTTGCTATGTTGGCCAGGCTGGTCTCAAATGCCTAATCTTGTGGTCCACCTGCCTTGGCCTCCCAAAGTGCTGGGATTACAGGTGTGAGCCACTGTGCCTGGCCAAAAATATTTAATATGGCAAATTTTATATGTATTTTACCAAAATGTATAAAAAATTTTTGAAAGCAACATACAAACTAGTGCAAATTGATAACAACAAATAGAATATACATGTGCAAAGGTGTAGGGAAAAGGAGCAATTTGATGAATCAGAAAAGAAATGGTGAGTTTCTTGTATATATCAAGTGCACAATGTCTTGTTTTCCGCTAAGGGGGTTGAAAAAGGAGCAGCCTTGCTGCTCTGTCCCCTCCCCAAACCTGAGTATTCCTTTTCTCTTCCTACAGGTATACTGGGTGGGCCCAATCATTGGAGGGGGTCTGGGCAGCCTCCTCTACGACTTTCTCCTCTTCCCTCGGCTCAAGAGTATTTCTGAGAGACTGTCTGTCCTCAAGGGTGCCAAACCCAGTGATTCCAATGAACAACCAGAGGTCACAGGGGAACCTGTTGAACTGAAGACCCAGGCCCTGTAGAAGCTCCAGCTGAATAGAGGGAGTAGAAATCTTCTGAGTTTACGTGGAGGGTTGAGCCGGCCCCTAGATGAAGAAAGAGACTGTGGGGAGGGGCATGTACTTCTTTATTTTTTAACTTATGTATGTGGTTTTTTTCTTTTTCCTTTTGCTGTGTGAAATCTTTCAAGTTGCATTCATGAGCTGGTTGGTGCAAACCTCCCTTCCTCCCCGACCCACCTTCCTTTGCCGAGTGTGCTGATTGTGCATATGAATGTGAGTGAGTGTGGCTGGGGCATGAGAGCTAAGGAAGCAAAAAGAGGTGCCATCTTATACCTCCCTTCCTCGACCCAGTGTGGTGAGTACAGGGTAACCGACACCTTATGTTTCTGGCCTTTACCCTGCTGCCAGTCAAGTGTGTGGCTCTTGATTTCTGAGGGAACAGAGAGCAGAAAGTTACTCCTCACACAAGGCAGATGGAGAGAAGTGGAGACAAGGCATTCCAAGGTTTAGGAGAAGGGACTCAAGGGAGGTGAGTGGTGAAAATGGAGGTATTAGCCCCAGATCAGGATGCAAGTGTTCCAAAAAATTGGGGGGAAATTAATGTGAACATACAGCCTACTTATCTCAGGGATGCTTGCCCCAGGGGCTTGGGTGGGGAAGTAGCTCTGAGAAAAGTGAACACTAGGATTTGAGCTATTCTGTAAAGGCATGCAAACCTTTCTACATCCACTGGCTGGTGTTCATTCTGGCATAGTGGATCTCTTTGGAGGTCTTGGGCCAAGGAGCTTCTAACCTAAAAAAGGCTTGGGCAAGCCTAGAATCTAGAAAAATTAAGCAGCTTATCTGGTCAGCCTGACATCCACTGGCGTGGCCACCTGGCAGATGGTATTTAAGCCCCACAACTGTTCCCTAAGGCCAACACAGGAAATCTGACTGCTGGAGCAAATAAATGCAGGCGTGGCAGTAGGGGGCATAAAGGGAGAGTTTGACTCTGTTTTAAATTATTTAGAGCTAATCAAAACACTCTTCAAATGGCATCTTTCTGCTTTTATCACTAGTTCCGTGTTTTGTTTTGTGTCTGTGTATTTTCATTTCTCTGTCATCTGTTCTTTCATCTTGAAGCAAATATCTTCTAACTCCCTCATACCCCAGAAATTGATTCATTCTATTCAAATGCATAACAATTCAGGAGATTATTATTCATTTGAGCCTATCTTCTTCTTTTTAGACAGGGGGTTCTTACTGTGTTGCCCAGGTTGGAGTGCAATGGCTATTCACAGGCACAACCATGGCACACTACAGCATAGAAATCCTGGGCTAAAGCGATCTTCCTGCCTCAGCCTCCACAGTAGCTGAGATTACAGGGGTCCAGAGCAGAGCCCTATTATCTTCTCTTGGGGGCAAGATCATATCAGCAGAGGCCAGAAGAGACCCTCAACTGATCAATGAATATTTATGGTTGCTCTCTTCCTTTTATGAGCCTCTTGCATACTTCGCAAGCTTTAAAAGTATACCTATAATACAACAGACATCCCCCACCCCAGAAGACTATTCCTCCCTATACTTCAGCTCTTCACTTCCTCCCAAATAAAACCTAACTTTTCTAACTAACTATTTAAGACTTGGAATAGTCCGCTTGACTAGAAGAAGGGGAAGAATGTTTGTAAAGTCACCTCTAATCGGACTTTCATTCTACTATAATTCAGCAGAAAATTCATAGCGCTGTGATTTTTAGATCCCTTGTAGGGGATCGACCCCACATTAAACAATCCCCGCACTCGCTTCCCTTTACCTTCCTTCATCGCCAATCTCCGCCCCCGTTCCGCTCGGAGTCACGTGGACCAGCCCGGCTCGCCCCGCCTCGCTCTACGCGGAGGCGGGGACCGGCGCAGCAGAGCCTGATGGCAGGAAAGCCTGCGGCCCTGCGCCTGAAGGCCGCTGGCTCCTCGGAGCTTCTGAGGACCCGCAGGGAGCGGGTGGGTGAGTGTATGGCGAGAGGGCGCTAAGCGGACACGGGGATCCTTTCGAAGCTGCGGGGGCATTCTCGGGAGGCGCTGAGTCCCTTTTCCCGCCACCCGGTTTAGAGGCAGGGGGCGGGGCGCGTACTTCTGGCGCGCACGCGCAGTTCTGTACTCTGCGCCTTCTGCGGTGCGGCGATCCCAGGTCGTGCCAGAGGCTCTCTTCGCCTTGCGCTGCTTGGGCCTCCCGCGGGATAGGGTTGTGATGGGAAGGGGCTTGGAACTCCGGAAGTAGAACAGAAAGTGCCTGGGGGAGTTCCACTTCGGAGCTCCCCATCCAGTTGAAAACCAGTGTGTGGCCTGGCGGTCAGCAGGGGTCGGGATTCACAGACGGCTTGACTTAAATCGTGGGTTTTTATGGAATATGGAATGATTTCTCACTCCCTTTCCTTCTGTTTGGGTTTGTCAGATGGAACTCAGCCGCTAATGAGGCTTTTTCCCTTGAGCCTCTCAATTATTTCCCTTAAATGCTTCCACTAGTACTTTCAATTTTTTATTTTATTTATTTTTTTAATTGTTTTTTGAGATGGAGTCTCGCTCTGTTGCCTAGGCTGGAGTGCAGTGGCGCGATCTCGGCTCACTGCAGCCTCCACCTCCAGGGTTCAAGCGATTCTCCTGCCTCAGCCTCCAGAGTACCTGGGATTACACGTGCCCGCCAGCACACTCGGCTAATTTTTGTATTTTTAATAGAGACGGGGTTTCACCATGTTGGCTATGCTGGTCTCCAACCCCAGACCTCAAGTGATCCGCCCACCTCGGCCTCCCAAAGTGCTGGGATTACAGGAGTGAGCCACCGTGCGCAGCCCCACTGGTACTTCCTACAAAGTAAAGATAACTGGTCATTTCATGTTACATTTAAAACTCCTTTTTGACTACCACAGTTAGGTTTAAATCTTTAAGTGGGGGCCTGTGGCCTCTCACAGTCTGGCCCTGACCCTCTCAATCTCATTTGTAAAGCTTTTATGCACCTGACTCCTGGCCACGTGGAAAGATTGTGACTGTGCTCTTTCATATCTCAGTACTTAGGGTTCCTGCTGTTCCTTCTGCTTGGAAGTGAACACGGCTCTGCCAAGTGAACTTCTCTTTGAAAACTGAGCATAATTGTCCCTCTGAAAATCAGTTTATTCAGCCTTTTTAGGCCAAGTTAGTCACTTCCTCCTTTGTGTCTCTGAAGTTTTTCACTCCCTTCTATTACCAGGGGCACTGATACAGCTCAATACAAAATCAATAAAAGGTTACTGAGCTCCTAATATGTACCATGCACTGTGCTTAGGGCCAGGCTTACAGAGATGAGTAGGACGGAGGGTTCCCCTCCCTTGAGAAACTCAAGTCTTAAGGAAAACACATGTAATTGAGTCTTCTGCGGTTACAGTAAAAGGGTCATAAAGAAGTCCTCCCTGGCTTCCTTCCTCCTGTCACTGCACTGACATCATCTTACATCCTGATGTCTCCAAATCTCTAGCTCCAAACACTTCTCCCTCATCTTCCAGACTTCTCTTTTCAGTTCAGTTTAGTAAAGCATTTTTTGAGCTGTGCTCAAAAGCATACATTGTGCTGGGTAGTGATGATTCCTGATCTGAAAGAGTTTAAGTTTTATTGCAGTTAACATAGGATAGTTAGAATCACCTGAGGAACATTTTCAAAACACCTTGCCCAAGCCCCGCTCCTGGAAATTTTGATCCAGTAAGAAGGCTCTGAAAATTCAAGGGTGAATAATAATTCCTGTCCTTGGCCAGGCGCGGTGGCTCACGCCTGTAATCTTAGCACTTTGGGGGGGCCAAAGCAGGTGGATTATCTGAGGTTAGGAGTTCCAGATCAGCCTGGCCAATATGGTGAAACCCCGTCTCTACTAAAAAAACAAAAAATTAGCTGTGCATGGTGGCGGGTGCTTGTAATTCCAGCTACTTGGGAGGCTGAGTCAGGAGAATCGCAAGAACCTGGGAGGTGTAGATTGCAGTGAGCCAAGATCACGCTATTGCACTCCAGCCTGGGTGACAGAGTGGACTGTCTCAAAAAAAAAAAAAAAAAAAAAAGGAATTCCTGTCCTCAGGGAATCTAAGGCTAATGGAGGGAGATAGACTTTGATTTTAACTTTTATATATGACATGAATTGTAAGTACCATGACGGAAGTCTGAATATGGCACACAGTGGACAACAAGGAAAAGGAGGTCACTTCTGTATGGAGAAGTCAGGAGGAAGTCCCTTTTGGGCAGAGTCTTTTTTTTTTTTTTTTTTTTTT